GCCCTAGGAGGTAGGTGCTATTGTCAATTCTTTGCAGATGAGGCTGTAGAACCAGGAAAGGGCAGTGCTGCACGGCACACAAAGTTGGTGACAGAGTCCAAGCCCGGGGTGTCCGTTTCTGACATCTGAGCTCTTTCCTGCCGGCCAGGGTTCCCCCTTCCTCAGCAGGGACTGGCCTCTTGGAACATATGATCACAAGTAGAGCAGGAAGGGAGAACCCTGGGAGCTGCCCAGGATTTGCAGCACTGAAAGGGAGAACACAGGGAGCCAGGCAGACTCCCAGCAGGGGCGGGGCCCAACTTGCCCTCGCCATGACGTCATTTCACTCTCTCACCTTGGTGACTACACTCCCCAAGTCCCACATTCCCCGCTGCCTCTCCTGACACCACTCAAGCCAATGTTCTCTTAAACTGACAACTACCAGACCACTGCTAGATGACAGGAAGGACGATCTGTTTGTCCCTCAAACCTACCACAACGCTAAGTATCACCAGGACCAAATTTCCAGTCCAAGGCATCAGAGAGGAGCAAGGTCATGGACAATGCAGAAACATTTAACCTACGGTCTAATGATATGCATGTTTTCAGATTTATGTTACTGCTCTGGCCTGGTCCGTCTCTGGGCCATTCTCCAAGCTGTAGCCAGAGCTCCAGTTCTTCAAGTGATGTAATGACTCTCCTTACAATTCCAAGAGGCCTCCCATCACCCTCAGGATGAAGTCTTCACTCCTTAGCATGACACTCTACGTCCTTCAAGACTTGGCCCTACCTCCCTCCACCCTCATCTGTCCCTACACCCTACTACCCTTATTGTCTAGCCATTCTAAATGTCCTATTTATGGGTCTGGTGGCAGGGATAAATATTTCAAACAAAAGGAACAGCAGGTGCTAAGTCCTGGTGCTCTGGCAAGAGTCATCTCAGGCATCACTCCTTATGGAAGACTCCTCTGGCTGACCGCCTCTCCCTGAAGCCAGCCGTTCTCCATCCGCTTGATAGCTCTGTGTACAGAACACGCTTCTGCTCCATCACTCAGACAAAGAAAGGAATCAGCTTGCTGTGCTTCCTCCTGGACAGTATGCCAGCACTCTGTGATCTTTTATTCTATCTGCATGTGAGCAAGTGGTAAAAATAAACAGAAGAGCCAGGCTGTTGTTTGTTTGTTTGTTTTTTTAAGGACTTGTTCAATAGAGGCTGATGTATACAGAAATAATATAGCTAACCCTTACGTATCTGGCACTTGCTAAGTGTTTTATGTAAACTCATCAAAGCCATGGGGTAATCATCAAATCACTGCAAGGCACACATCCTTATTATACCCATTTTACAGATGGGAAAACTGAGGCAAAGGAGGTCAAGCAACTTCCCTCAAGGTAACAGAGCCAGAAAACTGCACAGCGAACATGCTTATCCAGACAGTCTGGCTTCAGTCCCAGCCCTTGTCCATTCCACCATCTGCCTGGCTGCAGAAAGGGGACTGAAATGTGGGGGAGGCAATGGAAGTCTCTTCTAGAGCCAGGAGAAGTAATGTTAACATTGACTTTGTACTCTGAATCAGCAGAATCTAAAGCTTCTACCAGGGTTATCTCAGGGAACTTGGGCATCCAAAGCCCACCCAAACCCAAATACCAGTGTGCCAAGCCCCAGCCTTGGCAACAGCAAGTGGCAGGACTGTACCCTCACAGCTGGAAATGGCCCAGCTAAGGGCCCTTTCCTTTATCTTCTCTGCCAGCCCCACCCAGCACTCCCTCCCCAGCTGCCAAGACCCTGCTTCCCACCCCCTGCACCTGGCCGCCCCTGGCAGGCGGCCCCAGACCCCTTATGGAGGATAAACTTCCCCCAGCTCTCAGCAGCTGCTGGGCCTGGCATGCCAGAAGTTCCACGTTAGGTTGATGGCCCTGCACAGCCCTATGGAGCTGCTATTTTTAATTTAATTGGAGAGTCGGAAGAGAGAGATGATACCCAGTGAGAGAATTTTAAAAGCTTTCAGGGTAGGGAGGGGGGAGAGAAAGCAAAGCAAAGTTCGTAATTATACACCAGGAAGCCAGATTTGATGCTTGAACAGAAAGGTTAAATGTTACATTCAGAATAAAATGAGAAAAAGAGTTCTGATGACAGTTGCCCAGAGCTAAATAAGGAAAAAAAATACCCTTTGCCCAGCTCCCTCTGCTCCCTTAAACTCATTTCTGTGTCTCCCCCTTCTTCTGTGTAAGGCTCAGGAGTACGCAAATAAACTGGCTTGGAGCACAAAGGTTCCTTCTCAGTGTATCGACACCCGGTCACCACCCAAAAGCAGATTTCATGCGCATGGCAAAATCCTCATCTCGCAAAATCCTCATCTCTCAGGCCAAGAGGTCCAACAAGGTGCAGAAAGCTGGGAAGGTGATCTGGCGCTGTAGGTAACAACATGGGCTTACACATAGATGGACCTAGGTTCAAATCTCTCCTCTTCCAAAGGACAGATGCAGTGGGCCAGTTCACCTAATGTCCATATGCCTTCTGTTTTTTTTAGCTACTTTTAAGTAACGAGATATAAGCAGAAGTCTGCAGGTGAGGCTTTCCTGATAGGGAGAGAGACTCAGATGGCATACTCCTTTCGCCCTCCCTTTTCCTGCAGGACAAATAGGCAGGATGCCTGGAGCTGCTGCAGCCATTTTGTGATCTTGAGGTAACACATTAGAAATGGAAAAATGGAAAGATAGAAAGAGTCCTTGGTGATATAGATATACAACTATTCCTCTGGGCTGCCTACTTGTTACCTGAGACAAATTCCAATACGTTTCAGCCGCTTTTAGTCTATTTTTCTAGGGATGCTGAATCCATTCTAACTTTGACAATCCCTTATTAAATAAGCTTCAGCTTGTGTGTGAGCCTGAGCAAATGCTTATCACTACTAAGCTCCCATTTTCCTATTTACGAATGGAGAAATATATCACCCATTTCCTGGTGCGCCTGTAAGGATTAAATGCAACTCCATTTGTAAAGAACTCACCACAATGCCTGGCAAGGCACAGTGGCTGCTGTTGTTATAAATACTCCTAATTAATAGGCGAGAAAAACCAGATTATAAAATTTAAAGCGACATCTCATATTTCAGTAGCACTTTCTGGTTTTCAAAGTGACTTCTCATCCCTCATCTTAGCTCATCTTCAACCCCAAATCTCTGACAACAGGAAGTATTACTCCTTAATATATACCTGATAGACTCAGAGTTTAAGCAACTTGCCCAACTTAGCTAATGACAGAGCCAGCCTCTACCTCAAGTGTGGTTCCAAGTCCCTGGGGCCTGGGCCAGGCTGGCTCGGACCTGTTCTGCTAAAGAGTCATCATTCCAGACCCCCACTTCTTTCCCTGGGGACCACTGATGGTTCATGTTTGGGGATAAATTCGTGGCCAAGGGAATACAAGTTCACATGTCAGAGACAAGGTGAGCTGGCCTCTGGCCTCCAATTTCCTCCCCCTGTCCCTGAAACATCGGGGTTCCTTGGGCCTTCATCTTCTACCCTCTGCTACTGTATTTCAGTTCCCAACATTGGAACCAAGAGCTCCTTTCAGAAGCAATGATATAACTAGGTGGCTGTGGCCCAGTCTGGATTTGAACCCCACTTTTACCACTTACCAGAAAAATATCTGTTAAATAAATAGTACGTATGACTCCTTTCTCTGTATTAGTCAGAGTAAGCAACACAGCTGCTGTAACAAGCAACCCGCACGTCTCAGTGGCTGACCATCATAGACTATTCCTCATGCCCAGAGCAGTGTAGGTGGGGGAAGGGGCTCTGTCCCACCCAGTCACGCAGGCTTCTTCCATCTGCAGCTCTACTGTCCCTTCCCCTATCGGACCCCCTGAATCCCGCGGGCAGATAGCACTATTTTAAGGGTTGGGCACACACGAACTGGCCAGCACTTCTGGTACGGTCACGTGGTCCTACCTGCCAGGGGGCCGGGAAGTGTAACCTCCCGGTGTGCCGAGGAATGGGGGAGGGCACAGTCCCCGACAATCTCCAGTGGTCCCGGCCCACCTCATCGAAATTAGGCTTCCCTGCAACCCCCCAGATCACGTGACTTTGCTACATCTATTTCATCCTTCATCATCAAAAATACAGTGACTTATGTATGCCCGTGTCCCCACAGTAGGTGGTAATCTTTTAGAACCAGAAATCTCCTGCTCCTTTTTCACCTCCACGTCCCCCATGCCCGGCGTAGAGCCTGGCACACAGTACATTCTCAGCAGTTTGTCCCGTATTCCTAATAGGAACTCAGACTTGAACAGAATGTTGGGACATCTGGGATGAACGGAGAGAACGGGCGTGGCTGAGGAAGGCTCCGGGACCTTACCCCTCCTGCTCAGTGGTCACCACTGTCCACAGGCCCCAAGATCAACAGCTGCCCAGGCCCCATCCTAGTTCCCGCATACTCACAGTCCCTAGGTCTCCCCAAGGGACTGCCCACACTACCCCATTCATCACAGCAGGCGGCACTTGCTCCAACCAAGTGGTTTATTTGCACATATAAAACAAGACCCTGGCCATGCGGCCGTGCGGGAAGGGCACTCCTCTCTGACCAGAGTGCAGAGGACTAGAAACTTCAGCTCTCCCCCAGCCCTACCCCCCTACTCCCCCATTCAGTAAGAACCCTCTCTTACCCCAGTTAAAACCTACTGTCCTAAAAGAATGGACAACCCAAGTGAGGTGCCAGTGAACAATGAGTGTCTGTTAGGTATGGAGATATCTGGCAGCAGGCCACTCCCATCCTAATAACAGACCACCCCTGGAAAAACTGTCCCCTGGAGGGTGTCCGAGGATGATACCCTGTCCTCCCATGGGTTGGGTCCCATTCCTGAAACAAGATAAAACCCCAGCACTTAAAAAGTCCTCCGTGAGTTCAGAATTCCAACGCCAGGTAACCCCAACCCCGCCCAGACCCTCTCACTAAAATGAATCCACGCACGTCCATCTGATGAGAGCCAGGTCCTCCCACGACAGCCAGCAGGTCGCAGCCTCTATCCCTCATCGTACTCCAACTTGGTTATCCACTGGGACTTGTAAGTAGACAGATGAGCCACAACAGACGCTCCCACCCAGACACTAAATTTTCTTGTGGAACCTAACCGCACCATGGTTTTGGCGCTGGAGAGGTGCTTTATGGCCAACTCCTCGAACAGGCGGGTGCAGAAGCCAGGGTACATGGTGTTCCCCCCACAGGCTATCACGTGGGAGAGGATCAGGGGCTGCAGGGAGGCCTCACACGTCTTGATGGAATCCACAAGAGCCTGAGAGAGGCTGGGCACTTGCAGGTCGAACACCTCGGGGCTGAAGAACATCTCAGGGGCCAGGCGCTGCATGGGGGTCAGGTCCATAGTGGTACCGTCCGGGAGATGATAGGTGTTTTCCACAGCAGAGCCAGCCGGCAGGCTCTGAAGTATGTCTATTTCCTGCCCAAGATCCTGTGGTACGTAGCATTGTTCCATCTGAACAGTGTCTGCTGTGTGCAGCCGAAACATCTGCGATGCACTGGAATCATCCTGAAACAGGCTCTTCTTGAGGTAGGCAGAGACATCCTGGCCAGCAAACTCCAGGACCTTAAGGCCATTCTGCAAGGGCCGGCCCAGGTAGTAAGGCTGCACTCGGGTCAGGCCGTAGCCAGAATCAACCACCACGCCCGTCAGGAGGCCGGTGGCATACAGAGACATCTCCAGCTCGTCAGCCAGGAGCAGGGCTGGGACACACAGTGACTCGAACATAATCTGCAAGAAGGGAGAAGATAGACATGCAGGGTATTTTCCTCGGACAAGGGCCCTGATCCCTTTCTGTTTTACCTAACACCATGCTATGCCCAGCTCTCAAAACGGAGGTCGACACTGATGTGTGTCCGTCCTTAAGGAACTGGCAGGCTGCCCTCAGAACTTTGGGCCCAGGCCTCCGGCCCCTGGAGCTCCACCCCCTGGAGCTCCACCCCCACCTAAGGTGTTGAGGGTGGGGCTCTAGAGGATTAGAGTTGAATTGCCCTCAGAAGCCTGTTGACTGCCGCCTTTCAGTTGAGTGGAGGGACGGGGAACTGCCATCAGGCTGCTGGAAATGGTACAGAGGATTCCGTGAACACTGGGGGAAGACTGGGGGGCCACGACCAAGGGCCCGAGGAGCAGCCAACATTATTTCTTTAGAAGAGGGAAGAGGAGATTAGAAAAGAAAGAAGTGTAGCATATCCACGACACTGCCTCCCAAAAAGTGGGGGTGTAAAGATGATGCCCTGGCCTCCTGGGAAGTGAAGACTTGTTTGTTGTTCTCTCCATTAAAACTTCAAACATCAAGCCAAAACTTTAGCAGCTGGCAAAGTCCCTTGGCTGATTTTTCTCCCCCTGCCCATCGCCCCTTGATCTCTATGGAGCTCCCACACGGCGCCCCACTTCCCCACCTCCTCGAGCCCCTGAGTCCTATCTTCTCCCCTCCATGGGAGAGCGCTCCCTCCATTCCCATGATCAGAACATCATCACCTCCCCCCACCAACCATCCGCTTTCCAAATAGAAGCCGACATCCCCCTTTTCAAAGAGACAGTCACAGGTGACCCCCCCACCCCCCATTAACAGTCCTCAGGAGCTTCCTATTCATTGAGAGCAGCCGTTGGGAAGCATTTTCTGTAAAGGGCTAGAGTATCAGGTTGCCCAATGGAGCAAATGAAAATGTAGAATGCCCAGTTAAATTTGAATTTCAGATAGACAACAAATAATGATTTAGTATAAGTATGTCTTGAGCAATACCTGGGACATACTTCATTATATAAAACATTTGTCATTGTGTCTCTGAAATTCCAGTCTAACTAGGCACCCTGCATGTTATCTAGCAAACCTCCAAAAATAAATATTTCACGGGCTCCACAGTCACCGATACAACCACTCAACTCTGCTGTCGTAGCAAAAGCAGCTATAGATGATATGTAAGTGAGTGGGCATGGCTGTGTTCCAATAAAACTTTATTTATAAAAACTGATGCGGGGCCACATTTGGGACAGTCGCTACAGTTGGTCAACCCTTGATTTAAAGTAAAATCCAAGCACTTTCCTCAGCCTACCAAGCCTGCCAGCTCTGGCCCCTGCCACTTTCACCTTCCTGTCTCCCTCTTGCACTGGGATCCAGCTTCACCAGTCAGCTATCCTCCCACATTGTTTTTGTTTCTAGAGCTGACCACTACGTGGAATTCTTTTTTTTTGTTAACTTATTCACAGTCAGGTCTTCCCCCGAAAGGTAAGCTCTTTGAGGGCCAGAATCTGGTCTGTGAACATGACTGAAAATGTCTGGTGTCTCCCAGGAACGCCCTCGCCAGAGAGTTTGTCCTGTTGCGTCTCTAGTTGTGGCAGGAGCCTGTGTGAGTCCTGGTGCCCAGGGCCAGGAACCAGGAGGTACTCAGGAAATATCTGTGGGGTAAATGATTAAGAAAGAAGCCTGGCATCCTGATAGCCAATCATGTCCAAACACAAAGAGCCAGCTGTTCCCCGCTCCTTGGTCATGGCAGCTCCAAGAAGGACTTACCTCCAGGGTCTTCCTTCGGTCCCCAGGCTTCCTTAGGGGAGGCTCAGTGAACAATACAGGGGAGACCTCATGTTCCTTTTTGTGCGTCTCCAGGACAAAGGACCACATGCGCTCCATAGCCTCCCAGTTGAGGATACGGCCACGCTGGATGGGATAGCTAAAGGTGTCAGGATGGTAAATGTCGATGCCGAGACCCAGGACCCTCCGGGCGGAGCTGGGACCAGGGTTCTCCCTGCATGGCCTGTAGTTCACGATGTTCGGGCAGACCGTATGGGGCTTATTCCAGCCAGACATGCCAGCCTTCAGAAAGCCAGACCCGTGGTCAATGACGATGGTACTTTCGGTCATGGCAGAGGCAGGGGAAGGAGTGGAAGGTGTCTTCTGAACTCGGCCTCTCAAGGGTGGTTTGTCCACCTGTGGAAAGAAAGGGTGGGGGGTTCTCTGTGAACCCATTCTGGGCCACTGTGGGATGCATCCCGCTCTTCACCCCACATCAAACCTCAGGATCCCCCAAAGCCTGCCCATTCGCCCTTCCAAGCCTTTGCACAAGCTGTCACTTGCACCTGGAATGGGAATGGGAATGTTCTTCCCATTCCAAACTCCCAATCGTCCTACAAGGGCCACCTAACTAGCCCGTCTGAGAGCCCTCGTCTGTGAAGCCAGGGGGGCACTTCGGCTCTACAACAGCAGGGGGCAGGCCCTGTTGCTCTTTCCAGGTTCAGCAAAAAGTTTTGTCTCCCAGGAAGCACTAGGTGGTGGTCGGAGGACACATGGACACTACCCACCAGCCCCAGGGGCCACCAGGAATGCAACAGTGATGACAGTCAACAGTAATAGTGTAGGCGCAACAGCAGCAGGAGCAGCGACAAAGGCAATGATAACAGCAGTGTCAGCTGTGGCTACCGTTTCTGAAGTCCATGCTCTCCCTCCCTCTAGTATTGGGAGGGACATTTTGCACATTAGGTAGAACGATGTAAAATTACCATTCGTAGCCATCAAAAATGGTCAAATACCAGCAATTCTGTACATTCTGATCTGATACTCATGCAGTCCTCACCACAATCTGTAAAGCAGGTAGCCTCATTACAGTCATCTGACAGATGGGGAAACTGAGGCACGCTAGCAATAAAAACAGAGCTGAGAGTTGAAGGCCACTCCGAGCATTGGGTGAGGCATGAGAAGATGTAGGTTTTGAGGATGGGCTGAGCCGATAACTATGTAAGGGAGGCTGTGAGTGAGGCATCGCGCCGTGATACGGTCAGTTTCCTCACCTCTAACAGGGGGCCGGGGGAGGGGGGGGTTGCGGAATAATACCTCCAGGCTAAAGAAGTGGGCGTGGTCATTACCTGATTCTCAGGCTCACCCTAAAACTACAGTGGAGGGGATGAGATGTAGTCACACAGACCCACGGAGAAACCAACCCACACACAAAAAGGTGGACTGATCTTTGACAAGATGCTAGACAACAAAATGCAGGAAGAGCAGGCTTTACAGCCAATAGGAGGGAGCAGTCGGATAACCGTATGCTTAAAAAAAAAAAAAAAGAAAAGAAAAAGAAAGAAAATGAACTTTAAGGTATGGAACACCTCATACCTTATAAATAACCAAGTCAAAATGAACCATTTGTAAAACCTAAAACTGAAAAGCATTTTATTTACAAAACAGGAGAAAATCATCAGAACCTTAGATAAGGTAAAATTTTCTCAGATGTAACATCAATAGCCTGATACACAAGCGAGCAAAATTAATGGATTGGTGTTCATCAAGTTTGAGAACTTTTGCTGTTCAAAAGACTGTTGAGAGAATAAAAAGGTGAGCCTTGGACAGGGGAAAATGTGTACACGTACCACGTCTGACGAAGACCTCGTGTCCCCAAAACACAAAGAACTCGCCAAACCCAACAATAAGAAGAGCAGCTGCCTTTTTTAAATGGGAGAAAGATTTAAACACTTTGGAAAGGAAGATGTAAGATGACAAACACATGAAAAGATGCCCAACATCATTAGCTTTTAGGAAAACGGAAATGGAAACCACAATGAGATACTAACACACACTTACAAGAACGACTCTGGTTAAAGCGGACCACGCCAGGCGCGAATCGGGGGCGAAGGCACTGGGGCCCTCCGACACTGGGGGCCATAACGGGGCACAGCCACTTCGGAAACAGTACGGCGGCTTCTCGGAAAGTTAAATATACCGACCACACAACCTCGTTTCTGTACTCTGAGGTATTTACCCAAGAAAAATGAAAACTTATATCCACACAAAAATCTTTATGTACACAGATACAGTAGCTTTATTCATAATCACCAAGACCCAGAAACAACCTAAATATCCTTCAGCCGGTTAATGGGTAGGCAAATCTCCATTCCGTGGAATGGCTCCGGACTATAAAAAAAGGCCGAATAATGCAGTCACACAAGTAAATCTCAAACGTATTAAGCAGAGTGAGAGCAGCCAGACTCAAAAGGCTACAGACCGTATGACTCCATTCATAGGACATTCTGGAACGAGCAGAACAAGGAGGACAGAACACAGACCAGCGGCTCCCAGCAGCAGCCGGCGGGGAGAGGGGCTGACTCTGGGGTCATGGCAGAACGTGGGGGGCAGGGGTCCACACTTGGCTTGTATTCTGCTTGTGGAGGTGGACACGCAGCTCGAAGCATTTGTCAAGACTCTCACAACTACACACTGGAGTGACTTTTGCCCTGGCCTCATCCCATGCACCGAAAGGTTGCGGGTTCAGTTCCGAGTCAGGGCACATACCTGGGTCGCAGGTTAGATTCCCCGGTTGGTTTACATAAAGGAGGCCGCCAATCCATGTTTCTCTCTCACATCATGTTTCTCTCCGTCTGTCTGTCTGTCTCCCCTGACCCGCCCCCAGATCAGTGAACGTATCCTCGGGTGAGGATTAAATAAATAAATAAATAAAAATAGAGTGCCTTTTACTGTAAGACTTTTTAAGGGACTAACCCCGGGCTGGTGGGACACATGAAAGATGTATGACAGCACCGTGCAGCACGCAAACTGCCACGTGGCAGACTCAGTGCCCAGGCCACACGTGGGCGTCCCGTGTAAGAGAGACCTCCCGACAGGCTGCTCTGCCCGAAGGCCGCTTCCCAGGCTGTCGCTCCTCCAGCGAGCTGTCCGCTCCGCCTCAGTCTCTGGAGAGCAGTCGCCTCTGTCCGTCCTGTGGGGCGTGACGGCCACCGCCTGGCTGTGGCCGCAGCTCCCCTCTGTCACCAGCCTGGGGGCAGTGATCAGGCCGTCGCACTGCCTTGAGTTGGCTCTGGCAGCAGACAGAGGAGAGCAAACAGGAGGGGAGAGATGGAGTCCAGACGCCTGTCAGGCTGCGTGAGAAATTCCTCATCTGAGTCACGCGTGCCCGGATGGCATTCCGGGAAGCAGGCTCGGCCATTGACCTTCCTGTACCACAGGACTGGGGCGACTGATCAATACTTCCTCCAACCTGCCATTTGGAGCTACAGGAGATGCCGGCAGGGTGACATCCCTGTGTCTGTCAATCAGGAGGTTCACAAAGGGGGACTCCAGGATGGTGGATCAGCTGATCTGGCCGGGGAATGTGAGGGCAGGAGGCTGGGGAAATCATCCTTCCCCCAGGACCACACAGTAGGAAGAAAAGCTGCAGGGCCCAGGGAGCCAGCTCCAAGGATAGAGAGAAAATCCACAGAGTGAAAAGCATTTTGCAACAGGTCCACAAATCCCCACTGAGCATCCCGCAGGGGCATCCAAACTTCCGGCATCTCTGGGCCACACTGGAAGAAGACTTGCCTTGGACCAGATGTTAAATACGTTGTGACACACAATCACAATAAAATCTCATGTTTTAAGTAAATTCACGGTTTCGTGTTGGGCCACATTCACAGCCATCCTGGGACATCTGTGGCCTGCAAGCTGCAGATCAGACACCCTTGACGGATGCACATAGCTCCTGCCCTCCCAGGCTCACAGTCTTCTGAGAAAGGCTGTCTGTAAGCACCAGATCAAATGGATCATGCCAGGGGGCATTAGTGCAACGGGAAAAAATAAAGTCTGGTACAAGGGACGGGGACCGTGGGAGGCACAGAGGGGCGGTGCCGGTCTAACCGGGCAGCCAGAAAAGGCCTCTCTATATAGTAACATTTGAGCAGAGAACTGAACAAGGTGAGAGAACTAGGATGTGATTGCCTGGAAAAGCATTCCAGGCCAAAGGAACAGCAAGTGCAAAGGCCCTGAGGAGGAAATGGCTGGATGAGTTCTAGGAACAGCCCGGAGGCCGGGATAGCGTGCCATGGCAGGCGAGGGGAAGGGCGTTGGAGACTCAGATGGGCCCTGCAGGCCTTTGTATTGTGCTCGGAGCTCTGGGTCAGCCCTGGGGGGTTGGACGGAGGAGTGACATAACCTCGCTTGGGATGTTAAAAAGCACCGTTTGGGCCAATGTGAAGAACAAACTGCACAGGGCAAGAGGAGAAGCAGGAGATAGAAAGGCTAAACGTTAAAGATGGTGGTGACCTGCACGAAGGTGGCAACAGTGCAAACACAGGGTGACAAGCGGTCAGATTCTGGGTATGTTTGAGAAAGACTGATACAGCGAAGTATGAGACAAGGAGGAGAATGGAGGAAGACACCAAGACTGTGGACCTGAAAAGCTGTCAGAACAAAGTACCCATTTACTGAGATGGAGGAGACTATAGAAAGAACAGATCTGGGCTAGGGAGGGAATCAGAAATTTTATCTGGGGCATCATAAAAGTTTGAGATGCATCCCAGACACACAGGAAGATGTCTGAAGGCAGAGTTTAGAGACATCTGAGCCGGGGACATAAGTGGGGGTCACCAAGTGGGTGGAAATGCAAGAGAAGGGGATAGAGATCAGAAAGTGACTCAGTGTAGCTAACGACTGATGCCTGAGGGCACTTTAAGGCCTGGAGGCTGGGCCCTGAGAAGGACCCAATTGAGAGGATAGGAAGGAGCAACTAGGGAGGTTGGCGTGGTGTCTCAGGCCAAGCAGAGAAAATATTTCAAGAAGAGAGAAATACAATGTGTGGAGAAATGAAGGTGAAAGACAAGGAAGTATCTATTGGATGTGGCAACACAGGAGTCACCTGCAGCCTCCCCCAAACTGGCCCCTCAAAGCCAACAATGTCAAGGAATGTTCAAACGGACAGGACAGGGCAGGACGTGGCCACCAACACAATGGATGTCTTCTGATCCTGGATCAGAACCAAAAAATTACCAGGGAGAGATAAACTAAAATGGAATGCTAAAAGTATAACCCATAAAAGAAAAAAATGTATATACTGGACTCCATCAAAATGAAAAACTTCTGCTCTTTGAAAGGCACTATTA